AGTTTTAGCCTCGCTTCCCCTGGTTCCCACCAAGGGGAGGCTTGACTGGCTTTTCCGTTTCCACTTGGCTGTGAGGCCAGGACGGCAGTGGGAGGGGGCCGGCAGCGTGAGAGGTCACCGGCACACAGAGGGACAGTTTTGTTTTCTGGGAGACTCTGGGACAGGAAGCTGGGTGGTCTCTTCAGAGTGCCGAATTATGCGCTTCACAAAACAACCATGCAGCGCCAGGCTGCTGAGAGAACCAGATCTGACAAAAAGCTTCGCAGACCCTGGCAGGGAATGTTGGTCTGCCACCCAGCCCCCCTCCCCACCCCGTGCAGCGCCTGGACCCCTCCTGAAGAGCACTGGCAAATTCTGGAGATGATGGTTTCCAGGGGTGACAGGACTCCTCCCATAACCTCCCTCCCAGAAGACACCAGTTTACAGCCTTCCCCTTAAGTTCCTTCCAGCCCATGGTGGACTCAGACAGAGCCCCACCCCCCACAATCCCTACCCCTGCCCGCCTTCCATGTCACCCTGAGGCCTCTTCTGCCTTTACTGGTCCATTTTGTTATAAACATTTTAAGAATCGTGGGGAGCGCCAAGAACTGAGCTGAAAATTTCTTAAATACACACAAGCATATAAATGATGGACATGTATTCCATTTATTTTTTACTGCCACACTTGCAGAAGGAATTATTATATTCGTTTAAGATGAGGATGCGGAACATTAAACTATAATGTGCCAATCTTAGGTAACCATTTAACTAAGGTTCATGTTATGAACATCCCTTCCAATGTATGGTTACCTGTGTGAAAGCTGATTTGGAGATGGTGGCCTTTATCTGACCCCCCACATGTACGGATGAGATCACTGAGGTCCAGGGCCTTTGACCAGCCCATTGCCGATTGAGAATTCAGGTATTATGATGGAGGTTGACCCATCGTTGTGTGCAGATTTGGTTTAAACAACCTCTCTGAAGCTAAAGGCCTTTAAATTTTAGAAGACATGAAGTTTTCTTTTTTTTTCTCTCCATCCCATTTTCTCTCTGGTTGAGACATGATCTCACATTGAGTAGTCCAGACCGGTCTCCATCTTGTGATGTTTTGGTCCCATCCTCCCAAGTACTGAGGTTACAGGAGTCATAAGCTAGCATGCTTGACGTGATGTTTTCCTTGGGATAGCTGTTTTCTATTTGTTTGGTTCATACTTCTTTAGGATTTAAAGGCAAGATTGGCTCTTTGGGCTCCTGTGTTTCAATGCAGTGGATCTGGGTGACAATTTTTCAGTTAAGTATTGGTGTCAAATCTTGGCTGCCCACATTCTCCCCAACACAGGCCGTGTGATTGGCTCACTTTGAGCCGAGCTGATTCCCCAATGATCTTTATGTTCTCTTCCAATGGCTGTGTCTCAAAACTCCTGGCTGGGCACTTTTGGGATATTTTTATGACTTCCTGAACCTACAGAGTTAGAGAAAAGGACTCCTAAGTTGCCACCTGATGCTATTTCTCAGTAAGGTCACTGTCGTCTTGAAAGTGGCCGTGTGCCTGCTATCACTAGGGAGAATGTGATTCTGTTTGTTCCTTCTGCAGTCCCAGGCGATCTGTGCTTGTCCTGGCCATGAGCCCTGGCCTAATGTAGGGATTTGACAGTGTAACTGCCATTCACATAGTCTGGAAAAAGATTTCACCCATTTCCCTCTATATGACCTCTGGAAAAATAGGTTTGAGTAGGACAATGTGACAGGCACACGGGTACTTCTCAAAAAGTCACCCCCAAGTAAAAAGAAAAATGCCCATCTCATGAAAGCAATGTTAGTGACATTTCTGTATTTTAATGGATTTCAGAAAATACTCTGTGTTGGAGTTAGGACAGAGAGGGATGAGGGGGAGAAGGGAGTCAGAAAAATGAGAGGAAAACAACACAAAGCCAATGTGATCCTTCAAAGACTTCAAGCATGGATAAGCTATTTAAAACGGTTGTGCAGAGCCCCAAAGGCAATCCGTCAGGCTTTTAAATGGCGGCCACAAGATTTACAAGACATAATCAGTGTTAATGTTGCCAAGAGAAACAAACGGTAGGGAATTCTAGAAGTGGAAGTTTTAAAGAGTGTTTTTCCTTTCAACGAGCAATTAAAAATTGAAATGGGGACACTGAAGACACCTCTCCCAACACACAGACTCTTTCACAAGCTACTTCCACTGTACTGAGGCAAACAGAAATTATTCTCTAATTTCCATTTTACTTGTATGCGGGCCTCTCAAGTTATCAAATAATATGGACTATCCAGTGCCATATTTTCCTTACTCCATATATTATTTAATACTTACACTAAACAATATTTGTTGTTTATCTGGAGTTCAAGTTTAATGGGGTGTGTGGTGTTTTATCTGACAACGCTACTTACACGGGTAGAAGTTAGTGAAATATGAATATCTTAAAACTCAAAGCAGTGTTGCGGACAGGACGACTGCCCTGTGGTGGGAGATGTTGCCAAGCTGCCTCCAGAGTGTGCTGGTCTGGCTGAGAAGGCATGGCAGAATCAGAGTCCTCTGGACTCCAGAGCAGGGCTTCTCAAACTTCCTAAGGCTGCAACCCTTTAGTACAGTTCCTCATGTTGTGTTGACCCCAACCATAAGATTGTTTCATTGCTACTTCATAACTGTAATCTTGCTACTGTTATGCATCGTAATGTAAATATCTTGAGTTTCTGACAGTCTTAGGCAACCCCATGGAAGGGTTGCGACCCACAGGTTGAGAACCACCGATGTAGCAGCTCCTGAAGTCACCACCAACTCAAGGAAAACTCAAGGATGTTTAGGAAAAGGGGGCCTCTTGGAGAGATTTTTGCATAGGTAGGGTGGCAGAGGGAACCAAGAAATGGAGACCTTTTGGAATTTTAAGGCACTTGATGGCTTTTTGCAAATTAAAATCTGCTTGTTACTGCAGACTTTACAATTAGGCGTTTGTTACTCAGGTGGCTTCTCAAGCATCAGGCCAGAGCCTCCTCCGTGGTGGTCCTGGATGGGCTTCCGTGATAGCTAGGGGATGCTCCCCGGATTTCTCTTCGCCACCCCCCTACCGGCTCATTTATTCAGAATGTGCCCTAGTCGTGACACCTCTCAGCTGCCCTGGCCTGGAGAGGCGGCCACACAGAGCTAGGCATTGTTGATCCAGATCTGGGACCACCCGGGTGGGAGCAGAGGAGACACAACCCACTAACACAGAGGCTTGACGACTGACAGCAGCTTCGGGTCAAGTGCCCAGCGGGCTGCCCGGAAAGGGGCCCTGTGTTCCGGACCCCAGCGGGGTCTTGCCCACAAAGCTTCCCTCCAGCGGGGAAACAAACCCTTCCTCCAAGCTCCCTTCAGACTCACTCAAACAGCGGCGCAGAATCCTCCATCCCCAACCCCTTAGAAGGAAGGACTCCTTTTGCTTTGGGCAGTGGGAATGACAGGTTGAATACAGAAAAAGCAAGAGATGGACCCTATCTTCTGAAGACTTAGAAATTTTAAAAAATGTTAGGGGGGAAAAAGTCAACCAAACAAAACACTAAATATATTTACTTAGAAACAGTGAAAAAAAGCTAGCCTGTTTTTTTTGTTTTTTGTTTTTTTTTTTTTTTTTTAATAGTTCTGTTTGTGAGCAGACTTATGACCTCCCACGTGTGGGGGGTGTCTCTCGCTCTTTCCTTCTCATTCTGGTTAAACTGGACGGCAGCGCCCTATTGTCGGCCTCAATGCCCAGATGAGCTTAAAACGGCTCTGTGTGGCGGCACAGACTACACTTGAGGTTGAAGAGCGAAGAGAAATTGGTTAAAGACGGAGTTCTTTCTAGCAGTGGGTTGATCTGCGGTGATGCTTCCCAGAACACAATCCAGTGTCCAGAATATTCCACAGATTTTCAGATAATCGCTCGGGGTGACCAGGTTTTGTTCTCTTGGATGTAAGCAATCTTCTTTCTATTCCCAAATGGGCTAAGTGGCCAACATCCATGCCTTGAAAAAGAGGTTCAAATACAGTGTTTTGTAAAAAAAAAAAAAAAAAAAAAAAAAAAAAAAAAAAAAAAAAA